TTGTCGAGTATGTCGACGCCGAGGAAGAAGAGACTATTATGATCGTCATGACCCCAGAAGACCTCGAAATTTCCAAGCAGCTTCAAGCTGGTTACGCTCTTCCGGAGGAAGATGATCCCAACAAGCGTGTCCGGTCGATCCTGAGTCAAAAGGCACACACTTGGACGCACTGCGAGATTCATCCCAGTATGATTCTTGGTGTCTGTGCCAGTATCATTCCCTTCCCGGACCACAACCAGTCTCCTCGTAATACCTACCAGTCTGCGATGGGTAAACAAGCTATGGGTGTGTTCTTGACCAACTTTGACCAACGGATGGAGACGATGGCAAATATTCTCTACTACCCGCAAAAACCGTTGGCCACAACGCGGTCCATGGAATTCCTTCGGTTCCGTGAGCTACCAGCTGGGCAGAATGCTATCGTCGCCATTGCTACTTACTCCGGATACAACCAAGAAGATTCGGTCATCATGAACCAGAGCAGCATCGATCGCGGTCTGTTCCGCAGTCTCTTCTACCGCACATACACCGATACTGAGAAAATGGTTGGTCTGACTGTTGTCGAGCGGTTTGAGAAGCCCATGCGCTCGGATACGATCGGTATGAGAAAGGGCACCTACGATAAGCTCGATGAGGACGGTATCATTGCCCCTGGTGTGCGTGTCTCTGGAGAGGATATTATCATCGGGAAGACGGCCCCGTTGGCACCAGAGGCGGAGGAACTCGGCCAGCGCACCAAGGCACATACCAAGCTGGACGTGTCGACGCCCCTGAGAAGCACCGAAAATGGTATTGTGGATCAAGTCCTGGTCTCTACCAGCAATGATGACCTCAAGTTCGTCAAGGTGCGCATGAGGACGACCAAGGTCCCTCAGATCGGAGACAAGTTTGCCTCTCGTCACGGACAGAAGGGTACCATTGGTATTACCTACCGGCAGGAAGACATGCCGTTTACACGCGAGGGTGTTTCACCCGATCTTATCATCAACCCGCATGCTATTCCATCTCGTATGACAATTGCTCACTTGATCGAGTGCCAGCTCAGTAAAGTGTCGGCGCTACGTGGGTTCGAAGGTGATGCAACACCTTTTACTGATGTTACTGTCGACTCCATCTCTCGGCTGCTTCGGGAGCACGGTTACCAGTCTCGTGGCTTCGAAGTTATGTACAATGGACACACTGGACGCAAGTTGGTTGCGCAGGTGTTCCTGGGACCAACGTACTATCAGCGTCTGCGCCACATGGTCGACGACAAGATCCACGCCCGTGCCCGTGGACCGACCCAGATTCTGACCCGGCAGCCTGTGGAAGGTAGAGCCCGTGATGGTGGTCTGCGTTTCGGAGAGATGGAACGTGATTGTATGATTGCGCACGGTGCCAGCGCCTTCCTTAAGGAGCGTCTATTTGACGTCTCCGACCCGTTCCGTGTCCACATCTGCGATGACTGTGGACTCATGACCCCGATTGCGTAAGTTTTCTCTAACCCTTTGCAGATAGTCTGTCTGCATGACAATAAGCACTAGCTAACCGATAATTTCGCGTGGCAGGAAACTGAAGAAGGGGCTCTTCGAGTGTCGACTGTGTAACAACAAGCACAGGATCTCGCAAGTGCATATTCCGTATGCAGCCAAGCTTCTCTTCCAAGAATTGGCCGCGATGAATATCGCCGCTCGCATGTTTACCAATCGTTCTGGCGTGTCCGTGCGGTAAGGAAGGCAAGAACACAAATTGAGTGGACAGAGACATAAGAGGGTTTTGTACAATCTCCGTTCTTTTTTCCTTTACGACATGACCAAAACTATATCCGCTTTTGTCCCAGTCGCCCTTCTAATTATTTACGCGTTTTCATATTCAACTCCCTTCCCTTTTTGTGATCTCAACGGAGAGAGAACAGATTGATTTTTCCTTGTTTTGGCATTTCTCTGGCGTACAAAGGATGCAAGATGGACAGTCACTTACTCGACTTGATACTCTGTGATTTACATGCGACCGCTCTGAAAAATGGGCCTGAAGGGGAAGTGAGTGCTTGGTTCTTTTTCTCTTTATGTACTCAGCGAAAACTAGAATCACTTGGACTATGTTGAACCGCTTTTGTCATCTCGAGTTGTAGCCTGGTAGTCATACGCAGCTGTTATTAGAGGACAAGGACAAGGAGGACGACGACGACGATGATGAGGATGAGGACATATTGTCTTCCCCTCTTTCCATGCATGATGAATTGTCCTGAACCTTAAAGAATGCTATTCATCTGTATGTCTATCCTGCAGGAAGCGAAGTAGCTGATAGCGTGCATAAGGGCAGCCCGTGTGGTTGCTGAAGGGAGGCCTTCCACAAGCCTCGATTGGTGAGGGCCTCATCACAGTGGATAACAGGCGCCAAATCCAGGGTGGTGGTTGGTTAACGACTCTGCTATGTGGTTGGCTACTGGAAGATTTTTGAGCCCCTCCTGCTTGTGTATATACCAATCGTCTTCATTGTTTACCCGCCAGCGAGAAGCAGTCTCCACTCTGACAGCTGAAGATGGGCAAACGACTGTGTTGATTGGTTGCGGCAGTAGATATCATCTCCACCGCCAGTCATGTTCTTAGAATAGCCAGCAGGTGATGGCATCCAACATGCTCGTCCTACAGAACACCAACAGCAACCAGGAATCTACTGGATGTCTGGAGACTGAGAGAGCCTTAAAGGTGCCGCAGCCGCTGGTCTGCTTGACGAGCCTTCTCTTCCCCTTCTCTTTCTTTCTTTCTTCTCTTCAGCAAGCTTCTGTTGGTTTGAGCTGCCCTTAATTTGGAAGTATCCTGTGCACTGGTTGCACTGATTTTCGTCGTTATTATCGTTGTTTATTGCTGCTTCTTCTATACCACTAATTACTTTCCCCCCACTATATCAAGAAAACCCTCAAAGTCTTCCCTTCCCCATTTTACTCTATCAGACGAGCTGTGCTCTCTGATGATCTTGTTTATTCTCCTTTGCTCAGGATACTTCTAGATTATACAATCATCTTCCCACGGTTCTCAATCCTCGTCGCCGGCCGACGTTGTTCATTGTTAGCCGTTTCCAGCTCAAACTACTTGCTCGGGTCTTGTCAAAGAACTGGTTTCTTCTCTTTGCCAAGGTCTTCTTACACTTTTAATCTTTTCTGATTCTAATTCTGCCGTGGACTGGTTCCCGTCAGCCTTGAAAGAGAAAGAAGCGCACTCGTTGTGAGCGTTGCACTGCCTGCCTGCCAACCAACAAGCAGTCCAACCAACCAACCCACCAGACTTCGATCGAATAGACTCTGGCAGTCTTTTTACTCGAGGCTCTGATTCAACGATTTATATCGACTTGCTCTTTCAACTTTCCATATAATATAATCTTTAGTTTACGTCAATCATCTAACCGCCACAATGACCGCTGTTCAACTCAAGTTCTCTCTCCGGACTTCCTCCAACGTCAAGACTGTCCATCTGCTCGGCTCCTGGGATAACTACTCCCGTCAAATCCCTCTTTCCCGGGATGATTCAAAGCCGGGCTCATGGGTTGGCAAGTTCCGCTTCCAGACGTCAATGCTCAAGCTGGGTGGTCGGTACTGGTACTACGTAAGTATTCGTCGCTGTTGGATGCATAAGAAAAAGGAGACTGAACGATTGGTCTAGTATATTATGGATGGATACCATGTCTCTCATGATCCTGCCGTCGAATACACTGTTGAGCCCACCACTGGCCGCAAGCTCAACATCCTCGATGTCCCTGGCGGCAAGAGCTCCAACTCTGCTCCCAAGACGCGCCGAGGTTCCAACGACGTCGTCAAGGGCCGAGCTCTATCTCCATCCAAGATCCACCACCCCAAGCCTTCCAAGCCCTACGCCTCTCGACAGATCCGGGAGACCGACTTTGCTCCCACCATGGAAGACCTGACCAGGCGCTTTGCCGGCTCCCGCATGTCCGACGAGTACTCTTACTCCAACAGCCCGCCCAGCTCCGTCGGCTCTTCCCTATCCTCTCGGTCTTCGGGCAGCACCTCGCCGTCGTCCTTGTCCTCTATGAGTGACCCACCCACCCCGATCTGCCGCTGTGAACGGTACGGCATCACTCGCAAGGGCGACCGCGTCAAGCTCGACTGCGGTGGTAGCCGCTGCGGCTATGTCACCGAGTCCTCAGAGGCCAGCTGCTCCGAGTCTGACAGCGATGAGGAATACCGCCGGGCTCGTACTGCCGTGCGCCGTCAAGGCATCGTTGTGCGCAGATAAATATGTTGATTCTTCTCAGTTCCCCGTATCTGCCTCTTCTCCTCCTGAGAGGACTTATCCATCACAGAGACGGGAGATCGACTATTTCCCTGCGCCTCGGTCAATGCAACGATACCGACTCAGCATTGGTTTCGTCATTTTTCGAGCAATTCAATTTGTTTAAGCAAACCTATAGTCACTCCTTTGGCATAAATCATGTGATGATTCTTTTCAGCAGAGAAGAATGAAAGAAAAAAGAAAACAAAAAAAAAAAGAATTTCAAAAAAGGAGACGGTCAACCGGACCAGGGCCTCCCGTTGACGGCACGAGGGCAACCGGACTCGCTCCGTCCTTGTGACCTCACCGTGAGGAGGAAAAGGATGTATGCGCGATTGACAATTATCTGCTTCATATCTCACTCGTCTTACACGGATGAGATATGGCCAGGCGGAACGAACGTTGATGACCTGTGATCTGGACGGTTGTTCTCTGGAGGCATGCAGCTTGCTACTACATACCATACCCTAGAGCCAATATATAACGCTGTCCAGATAAATGAGATTACGACGAAATGATATATTGATGGAATATCCAGTCTACTTTTACAGCCCTTATTGTAGCTATACGCAGGCAGGTTCCGGGGGATGGAATCGAACTCGGATGCGTTCCCTTTCCGCATCGGATATCCCGAATCACCATCATTTAGAGTCGCCAGTAAACCTGGAGGCAGACATCCGTTATATTCTTTAGTCTCCTCATACACAATAATAGCCCGTTCTATCGAATAGGATGCAGCACAATGTTGATGACCCTCAACCCCCCACTAATGTAACCTACAAACAAGCCAACGGCCGCAGAATCACCACAGACATCTACCTCCCACCCTCGACCTCCTCAAATGGAAAAGGTGAAACCAAATACCATCCAGTCCGTAAGTTCTTCCCTGCCTTCACTGAATCAACTTTTCAAATGGTCACTCCCGCTGGTCTCCATTTCCCAGATCCAAGATCCAAGACGCCCGGCAAGAGGCTGGATCGTCCTCCCCCAGCCCCCTCCAAAAAAAAAAAAAAAAAAAAAAAAGGGTACTGGGTACACTGACACAATACCTAGGGCACGATGTCCCCCATCCGCCACGCGCAATCCTCGCCGCCTACGCAGCGGTGCACTCCGAGGATCCCTGTTTGGCAACGACCACGCCTCTCCCGCATGTTCGGGAGAAATACAGTCTCCCCGCGCTAGATAAAGCCTTCCTGAACAAATTCTACAAGGAGAAGCCCGTGCCTACCAGCAGTGGCGTAAATTTATTGGGTCAGTCTGAGACGCGGCTATCCAGAGGTCAGGTCCGGACTTCGACCTTCAGCAGGCCGCAGGATGCGCTTGCGTTGACGCAGATTGCGAACGGGAGGGTGCTGAGGCGTGTTACGGTTATCCGCGTCATGTCCATGGGCGGGACTTCAAGGCGATTAGTCCGATGGAGAACATTGGAAAGGGGTTCCAGCCGGCGTTGATTTTTCATGGGGATGGGAATCTCATGGTTCCTATTAAGATGAATTGGGCGTTGTTGGGAGGTTGAGAGAGAAGATGGTGGAGTGTGGATGATGGAGGCGCCAGGGAGGAGCATACGTTTGCGATGGGGGCCCAGGTTTGTCCGAAGACTTGGGGCCTGCAGAGGGAGGGGTTTGATCTTTTGGAGAGGGGATTGCAAGGGATGTGTAGGTAGACGAGTGTTCGATAGCTATCTATCTATACTGGACTGGCCAGATAATTATACATGAAATGAAATACCCGAAATGAGAACGCTGGCAACGAACGTGTGGAAGTGTTATAATAGAAAGCAGCGCCCATGAAATGCGAACTCCATCCCATGCAAGCTGTGTATAACTTTTTTCCACCAAAGCACGTCTATATCAACCCAAATCCAAGTATACAGAGCTCGAAGGTGTTCATATTCCATGTCGCATCGTCTTACCAATAATGTCGGTCAAAGCTCGCCCTGGGTCCAAGCCGATTGGGAACAAAAAGAAAGAGTCGAGTGGTCGTCATGGTGAGCAAAAAACGAAAAGGTCCAGGTCCAGCCGGGATGAATGCATCGGACAAAGAGGCCAAGTATTGTTGGTGTCGTCGTTTCAATCAATGAATGCCAGCCTTCAAGGCTGACCACGTCGGACAAGTGATGACAGCTCCAGGCTGCCAAGCGAAAACAGTCGATGAGAAGGCAAATAATCGCACACAGTGCACCGAGATTGGCTCTCAGAGCACAAAAGAGAAGGTATTGAAACTAGCATTGCGTTCAACGCAAGTCGCTCCGGGGTAGCCAGATGAAGAACCGCAGTATAGTCATCCTTTCGGCGATGATCAATATCCCTTGGAGTACCCCGTCGCACAACGATTACCACCAGTAGGTCCATTCCGTCTCGCAGAATGTTTCTCACAGGTGTATCCGACCAACACCGTCTTCACTTGCACGGTGTGGCCCCGTTGACCATATGCTTGACACGGGTCGACCGCGTGTTCAAAGTAAAGACAACCACACACCGAATAACGTTCCACGAGCTGGTAGCACATTTCGATAGGTCGAGATAGAATAGCGACTATATGCGTTTGGTAGATGACGACGTCCGGCGTAGACACGTGCCAATGAAGAAAGTGCTGTTGAATGAATGCTTCAAGAGAAAGAAGACAAGAAAGGATTCAATGTATTAAAGTTTGTCGATGCCATCCAAGGATAAACAAAGGTTGGCTCCGTTGGGAAGAGATTATTTATATGAAGTTGAAGAACTCAGGCGACCTCATGAATGTTATGACAATGGTCAAAAATAGGACGAAACGAAATGGGAAGCCGGGTTTCGTCAAGGCCCCATAGCCTATTCAATCTGCAAGCAACCCGAAGCAAGTGCGGACCGAATTGATGCAAGGCATCCATTTAGGTCTTAGCCGGGACTTTTGCAGTTGCAATGAATATCGGTTTTACTAGAGAAGACAAAGTGGTGAATAGCAAAGCAGAAGAAGTTGGAAATGGAGACCCAGAACTAGGTCACTGGGCACAGTTTGACACCAAACCATGTCCGACTTTCCGCAGGTCATTCCCGCGGACAAGACCGAGGCCATAGTTCGTCAGTGGGGTCCCATTGTGCTGAAGGTTGGCACTTAGCTAGTCCTGCTCAACAGCCGGACCGGTTGGCCATGTCGCAGAACGTTGTACCGACGGTGATGACAGCTGATGCCGAGTTCCAAGTTTGGATATCCACCGTGACGGGACCGTTGAAGGCTAGGAGGCTCTAAAAACCCTCAAGGTTGCTGCAAGCGGAGCTGGGCACTCCTTAATGCAACATCATTGGTCTGTCTCCGACCACGATCTCGTGCTTGCAGGGGTTTTCAGCTCATGGTGCCATGGATTTTGGAGGCCTTAAGGCCTTATTGGACCATTGCTGAGATAGGTTGAAGTTATTTCTACTTTGCAATAATCGGGTAGCCAGTAAACATCGTCGACCAATTCTATTTTTTTCGTTCTGCTAGAGACTTATCGAGTTAGTCACTCCGACCGCACTTCAAAAAATGGTCTTTCTTCTTTCCTGGTTGACAAATCTGCTCGAGGTGGTGCAAATGATGGATTGATGACAGTGTGATGAAAGCGACTCCGCAGGTTCAGCTTGCAGTTGAGCCTCGATATTAGCAGAACTATCGGTGAGCAGACCCATGCAAGATGATGCATGGGCTTGAAGAATTGGTAAGAGTCGGACAAATCAAGTGTTCCTCCCTCAGCCCTGTCCGTTGAGTCACAGACCACTGCCCGCCAGATGCGACTAGCCTCAGGGATGTCCGACCTGCTTTTGGCCCTTGCAGCATCTCCAAAGACAAGAATAACCCGCAAGGCTGACCCGAGCAAAGGGCGGGGGGTTCATTATCCTATCTGAAGGGCTGAACCGTTGAGACCCCCACATGATCTGACCTGACTCATCCTCTTGCTCATGACATCATCCAATCAGAGGAGTCGCAAATCTGCCAGTCCACGACTCCGAGCAGTCTTTCAGTGACCGAATTAGTGACCTGGTAACTAGAAGTGGGTAGAATCATCGTTGCATAACCTCATCCTCAGCTGTTGTCGTTCAGTGCTGCTCTTCGGGCTCACTGTTCCGAGATCTAGACCGCTGTTCATTGATCCTGACGTTGACGCCGAAGCGTTGTATGGTTGGCCTGTATCTTATAAGAAGGGTACATAGGGCTCGTTTGGAGGGTCCAAATTCGGAGGGATCATCATTGACTATGGTAGAGTTGGTGTTAACAGACGAATGCATGCTGAGGTCTTCAGTTTCGAGAGCCTTGCATATTGGAGATGTGCCAGATCAGGAAGCACTCTGAAGCGCCTTGTAGGGGAACATCATCAAATCCATCCAAGGTCGGTCGAATTTCGATAACCAAATGGTAAGTCACGGATGATCTTTCGATTGTATGACGATGGAAAGGTACGGCCAGTGATGGTTATTGGAACAAGTCAAGTTGAACTGGAAAGTTGTTGTGGCCGAGTTATTGCTCTTGATGCCTGGGGAATTCAATGCTTTACCCTGACTATCCGGTGACTGTCATTACTATCCTTTTCTCGCCCTCCATGAGAGACCGATCATATGGACATAAGGTCTAGGTAAATGAAAAGCTAGAGGATCCCACAAATACACCTACACGTACATGCTTACATGCTAGACAAGAACGATGCACAAACCGCCTCTATTAAATAGACCCCAGAGCACCAAAACTCAAGCCTCGTGCTAATCCCAACCGTAACATCTTGAGGACATCCTCTCCCTTGATATCCTCCGGTAAAGCAGCTCGCCAGTCCCATCCGCGTTCGTGAGATCCTGTTTGGGATCCATCCCCGGGGCGAGGAACCAATACAGCTGAGCCGATCACAGATCCCGAGCCAGACATGGTTCGGTTCCGAGCACTCTCAATCATATCACTGCCAATTAAGGAGAAGGTGCTGGATGCGGTGAGCGAAGATACGGATTTCTTTAGGAGTGCCCGCGGTGACGGCGGCAGAACGTAGGATTCGGCGGAGGATCGACCGCCGGACGACGCACGCTCAGAAGAGTGATACTCGATGAGCGCCGAGCGGAAGCATTCTTCGCACTGGGAGTAAACGCGGGGCGTGACCGTTTCCAGATCTTCAATGGCAGAAAGAATAGTAAACTGTTGAGACATCGAAAGAACCGGAGTGTTTTCTATCAGGAAGTCAGCCTCCTGAGGTCACGCGTCAAAACCACTACAACTTACGATCAATAAATGGCAATGCCTCTCCCAAGAGTGTCAGAAGCCCATCCACTTGCACCGCAGAGTCACGAGCAGGATCATAGAGCCCACCGTAGATACTATCTGCGGCGCTACTGATCACAGCAACCAGAGCCTGGGCCGCTGCCCTACGTCTGGCTAAGGGCTTGAATCGAGGTCGCTGCCCCTCCTTGAGCCCGATCGCTTCATCTCGGATCTCATAGAACCGCCGTAGAGTGGCATATCCGCTGAAGTAAAATTGGAGAATGCTTGCAGCGTCCTCGTCGGAACCTGCAATCGCTGAAAGGCAGGTCTTCGGATCTCTGATCAATGCCTCCAGTTGCTCATCGAGATCTGCAGATGCGGGATATGCGCGCGATTGAACCAGGCTGTACGAGATGAGTAGGTCGACAACCGACTTCACCTTCCGACGGCTGTGTGCACGAGCGTAACACACCAATGCCAGACCGTACTCATCAGATTTTTCCACCGTTTGATCACCAAATCGCTGCCAGATGGTTAGTTTAATGATCATGAAACACAACAAGGGTGGGCCTTGAACATGGGCGTACCTCAGACACTCTCCTTCCTTCCTTGTCTAGACCAAGCTCGGAGCAAAGTAATACCACTTTGTCCAACTGCTCAACATTGTCAAGAGGGATCTTGTCAAGTAATTCCGAAACACTCTTCTGCAATTTCTCTGCGTCATCTAGACGGCTCACAACCTCCAGAGCAAGCTCCCAGCCGTCGCGGACGCCGGACGGGTGCTCAATTGTACGTCGGTTGAACAAACCGAGCGCATAGCTGCTCAGAACGTCATCCTTGCGAATTCGTTTGTTCGGCTGATTGCCGTTCTGCCCGTACGATAGGACCATCAGGTCATTCTCACTGAGACCCGGCAGCGGCTTCGCTCCTCTCTCTGTATCGAGCCAACCACCAATCGAGGCGACCTCTGCCACAGCGCAGGCAATACACAAAGACCATGTTTGAATCAGCTCAAGCACACCGTCAACGTTGCCCTCGAAAACAGACGCCAGGCCAACCTCGAGACTACTGAGTGGATTGACCCTGAAACTCGAATCCGCCATTTCCTCATTGATAGCGCTACGAAAGGCAAGGTTCAGGCGCTGAAGATAGGCATTCACATGGCCTTCGCTGGCATCGCGGAAAGCCTGCGATCTGAACATGCCGCTGCGGAGGACATCGCCCTTCCCTTGCGCCGCCTCCTCATCATCCTCACCGTCCC